CAGAAACCTGGAGGTTTCTGGAGTGCCTTTTGATGACAACTCCGTGACACAGGTGCACAAGAAGCCAACCAGAGGAGAATGTCCAACTCTGCTGGACCTCGTACATGCAAACAAGGAAGACCTTGTCTGGGATGCAAAGGTTAAGGGTAGCCTTGGCTGCAATGACGATGAGATGGAGGAATTCAGGATACCGAAAGGACAAGGAAGACAACAGCAGCATCTCCTGGATGGAGGGAGACCTGGTGACAAAAAAATATGGTAAAGGGCAAGGTACTTAATGCTTTCTTCAACTCAGCCTTTACTGGTAAGGCTGACTTTCAGCAATCCCAGGTCCCTCACGCCAGAAGGAAAGTCTGCAGCAAGGAAGACCTACCCTCAGTGGAAGAGCAGGCTAGGCTACTTTTAAATAAATTGAACACACACAGGTATATGGGACCTGATAGGATGCACCCAGAAGTGCCAGTAGGTGACCAGGAGCTGGCCAGTGTCACTGCAAGGCCACTCTTCACTATCTTGAAAGGTCAGGCCAATTGGACGAGGTATCTGTGGACTGGGGCGGGGGAAGGAAAGAAAAAAAATCAATTGCCACTTGCATTTTCACAAAGAAGGATCCAGGGAATGGGCTGCTCATCCTCACCTTAATCCCTGGAAGGTGACGGAGCAAATAATTGCGGAGGTCATTTCCAAGCATATTAAGGACAACATGAATGGAGCAGTCAGCATAGATTTATGGAAGGAAAATCAGCTTGATCAACCTGATAGCCTTCTACAGTGAGAAAACTGCCTCAGTGAATGAGGCGAGAGCAGTGGATGTTATTTACCTTGAGCAGAGCAAGGCTTTCCTCTTACCTCCCACTACAGCCTCACAGACCAACTGGTGAAGTACTAGCTACACAAATGGACAGTGAGGGGGGACTGAAAACTGGCTAAACTGCAGGGCCCAAACAGTTGTGATCAGTGGCAAAGTCCAGCTGGAAGTGTGTTTGCTTTTTAGTAAGGACAAAAACAGAACAGCTGGCACTACTACTCAAATATTTCTCATTCAGCCTCAGGAAGTCCTACCCATGACTACTTACGCATGGTCAGACACGCAGTTTCTGATCAGTCTGTTCTAGCTGAGGAATGGCTCCCAAGGCTACTGCTCCGGGCTTAATTAGAAATTCTGGGAGACTTCACAACTCTGATGTATTCACACAATAATCATTATACATCATTATGTAAATATAGAGGAGGTATAAAATATCTCCTTATAATGGAATTTCTAAAATAGTATTCAAAATCCCCAAGTATAATAACAAATAGCTATTAAGTACTTAGAATTTTATGTAGAGGGAAAAAAAGAAAGGAACTTTACTACATACCATGGAATTAGAATCACCCTACAAACAAGCTTTTGCATTTTTTTTGTTGTGCAACAGCAAAGCAACCTGCTTCATGTTATGACGGCTGATTTCATAGCCAAACCTCTGTAACCCTTCCCTTTGAAGGTAATCCCACTGCTTCAGTGGAACATAGCACGTACAAAGGGGAACTTAAAATCTTGACAGGCAAGACCAGATCCTGCCATCAGGCTCAAAAGATGCAATTTGTTTGCCATATGAAATGGGATTACACAAAAAAAAATCAGAATAAAACCTGTTTTGTCTAATCTGAAGCTTATTATCCGAGTGCTCCCTCTCCTTACCCACTTCCTAAGTGTGGCAATACACAAATGCACGCTCACAAGCTCTCAAACTGGGATCCAAGCAACAGAAGTTTACATGGAAAGCTTTTCATTAACTTCAGAAGTCAGGCATGCTTCCCCTACAGACAGGCCCACACAAGGAAGAGACAAGTGAAGTGAGGTTTGCCACGCTCCGAGTTGGTCAGGGGCAAATCAGCTCTGATCCAACAGGTACATAACAATCAACACAAGTGCAACAGGCAGGGACTTAGCTCAGACAGAACAACTTGGCTAACCCGAATCCAGCAAAAGAAGCAAAAGGAACTGAAGTTGTCCTCGAGGTTCCTTTTAGGATGCTACACTAGAAAGAATATGATTTTGATTCCTCACACAGTCAGGGTCAAAGCTGTCCTGTGCTAACCTTGAGAAGATCAGAAGAATTTCAACTCAGCCTGTTGCATTTTAAAATCAACCGAAAGGTTCTTTTTTTCCCCCACTGAAATTATTTCTCCCGACAGCTTTTTAGTACAGACTTTTAAACTGAAGATGTAGTGAAACTGAATCCAACTGAGTGGCATTCATAGGTCTTTGGTTGCAAGACAGATCTGAATGCCCTGGTACAAAGGGCCATGGCACAAAGGCTCAGTATTTTCTTGTACCTTCCTGTTCTTCATGTTGCACACAAGGTATAGAAGTGATACTCGTAGTAGATAAAAAGCAGGCTATGATCCTGGCACATAAAAGAGGCTAAATACTTCCTCAGCATGATTACTATAGCTATGTATGTCACTTAACACATATACATTCCTAAAGTAAACATTAGGAAGCACACCAGT